GCTCTCTGCTCAGCTGGGAGCCTGCTTCTCCCTCTCCCGCTCCCCCTGCTTGTTCTCTCTTTCTCTGTCAAATAAATACATAAAATCTTAAAAAAAAAAAAAGAAGAGGAAACAAAATTAAAAAGCAACACCAATCTCTAAAATTCTCTTAATATTCTGATGTATATGTAAAGTTCTAAATCTATATTTGCAAATGTGTGCATGTGCATTTATATAATTTTTAAAGATCTTTATTTTTTAAGTAATCTCCACACCTAATATGGGGCTGGAACTCACGACCCCACGACCAAGAGGCACATGCTCTTCTGGCTGACCCAGCCAGGTGCCCTGGTTGTCTTTTTAAAAAAAACTTGAGATGGATTAGTAACAATTTTCCATGACAGAATTATTATTCTATAATTTTTTAATGGCTGCATTTTCCATTTTATGGATAGTCATATTTTATTTAACCAGACTCAGTAGTTTGGTTCAGATTTTTACTACTGTAAGATAATGTGGGGGGTAAACAACTATACACCTAAACCTAACATGTATCTATCTCTGTGTTAACATTTAGAGAGAGATAAGCAGTAAAAATGGAAAGTAGCTTTACTCAACAGTCTTGAAGAAAGCAGAGGGTACAGAGTTAGTAGGAAAATAAATGATCAATTAGACTAAACACCAAAGTTACCTGAGAATTAACCCTTTTGTCTTCAATGTTCCAAATGAAGTTAAATTGATAGAAATCACTTTCTCAGAAGTTAAATTGATAGAAATCACTGTGGCACTTCCTGTGTGCTATTATGACAAAATTAGAAGGAATCAGGGTGCAGTCTCCAGTTAAGAAGGACAAACTAAATGCTTACACAAAGGAAACTGTTAGACAATCAAGTAATATTTCTAAATGGGTTTACAAACATAGGCAGAGGTAAGAAACTGAAGGAAAGGGGCGCCTGGGTGGCTCAGTTGGTTAAGCGGCTGCCTTCGGCTCAGGTCGTGATTCCGGGGTCCTGGGATCGAGCCCCGCATCGGGCTCCCCGCTCAGCGGAGAGCCTGCTTCTCCTTCTCCCTCTGCCTGCAGCTCTGCCTACTTGTGCTCTCTTTCTATCTCTCTGTCAAATAAATAAACAAAATCTTTAAAAAAAAAAAAAAAAGAATCTGAAGGAAAGATTAACTAGAGATAGCAGCCTGTGAAGTCAGGGTTCTGGAATGGGGTGGACCAGTGTTGGAAACCCAGATCTGCTAAGTACAGAATTGTGATCTTGGGCTATGCACTTAAAGTCCTTGACCCTGTTTCCACATCTTCATCTTGAAGATGGAAAAAGTGATAATGCTTCTCTCTCAAAGTTGTTAAGATTAAGTGAAATGTACCTTCCATGCTGAGTAAAGTGGATGGCATGGAGTAGATGCTCAGTAACTTGTAGTTATTAACCAGGAAACAGTCTTGCCCAATCAGGGTAGAGAAGGTCTGGCGCTTTAGCCTCAAAGCCTGGAATTAGATAGAGCTCAATCCAAAGGGAGAACAATGTCTAGGTCACAGAAGGGATGCTGGTGACAGTGGTGAGGGCCAGATCATGGGAGGCTAGATCGCAGAAACCAGGATGACACCTGGGGTCCATGAATGGCAAGGGAAGGCATGTGAGAGCACAGCTAGGTGCTGAGTCCAGGAAGTATGTCCTCAATTGAAACTCTTCTGATTTCCCTAGGAGCCCCATAAGCTGTACAGCTTTTACACAGCTCCTTTTATAGGGATTTCCTTCCTTCTCCCTCTCCTGTTTGCCTGTTAAGTTTCATATTGATCAAACTTTCAATGTTTACCATTTCCTAAAAGTACAGCCTTATTCCAGGACAATATAGAGCTTTTTTTCTTGGTGGAAGTGAGAGGAATCTCAGAATTCTTCAAAAAAATTTGGTAACACTCTCAGCCACCTCATCACATCTTACCTATCCCTACACCCCAAGGATCCTACTTTCTGAATGTTCTGTGAATATATACACTTCTCTAGATCTTTACTATCACCACTGTAGTTCAAAATGACTTCATGTTTTGTAAGACACCTAAAATTATCTCCAAACTGAAGTCTTCATTTCTACTTGTGCCCATGCCTATCCTCCATTTGCAGCTCAAATGATACTGTATTATAAAAACAAAAATATGATCAAATCTCTACCTTAAAAAACTTCTAATAAGAAAACTTCTAATAATGTTCCCTACTATCAGGATGAAGTCACAATTCTTTAATGTTGCCCACAAAGCCTGTATAACCTGGCCTTTGTCTCTCCAGATTCATCTTTTTTTTAAAGATTTATTTATTTATTTATTTGAGAGAGAGAGAATGAGAGACAGAGAGCATGAGAGGGAGGAGGGTCAGAGGGAGAAGCAGACTCCTGCCGAGCAGGGAGCCCGATGCGGGACTCGATCCCGGGACTCCAGGATCATGACCTGAGCCGAAGGCAGTCGCTTAACCAACTGAGCCACCCAGGCGCCCCTCTCCAGATTCATCTTGACAACCCTCCTCTTTGTTCATAATGCTGCAGTAGCACTGATTTTTTTTTTTTGCTCCTGAAGTCACTGAGCTTTGTTCAGCCTCAGGACCTTTGCCATCATGCTCCCTCTGCCCACAAGGCTCATTCCACAACTTTCCACCTGACCGATTCCTCCTTATACTTCAGGTCTCTAATTTGTGACTTATTCATTGACATCTACCCAAATCTTGCAAACTAGGTTAGGTCTTTCTGTTCTATACTTTCATAACACCCTGTACTTTGTCCTGTACTTATCACAACCCTAACTAAATAATAGTTGTTTGGTTATTGAATATCTAGCTCTTTGGGTTGACTGTGAGGTCAATGAGATCAAGGATTTGTATCTTATTATGTTCAAAGCTATAAATCAAGCATATAGCACAGTTAATAGCACATAGTAGGCACTCAATAAATAGTGAATGTCCATAATTATCCATATTGGCATCTTTGGTCATGTATCTGTGCATGTGACCACTAAATATATAAAACTAGAACAAAAGAAATGTAGCTGATTTGCTGAATTCTCTTTTGTGGTTGGAGGTTGTTCTTTGCCTACTTCTTCTCTGAGGGAGACTCACTATAGTAAATTTTCTTCAAGTTTGACCTGAAAAAGGTGGTTTATCCATACAAAAAGAGCATGTCAACTATAAAGGATAGGGGAAATCGGGCTGTTAGCAATCTTTCCATCAAAATTTAATGCTAAAGGAAAATGGTGCAATGGCCTACAAAGCACACAGGTAAGAAAAAAGTGTGATCCAAGAATGTAACATTCAGAAGCAAGGTGTTTTGAGATATAAAAATTAAGAGAATGAGGAAAATGAATTAAATCTCAAGTTTCTATTTCCAGTTATGATGGGCTAGGTTATTAAGATCAATATATCTATAGACAATAACTAAAGATGCTAAATGAACTATAAACATATAAAAATTCCTCTAAGGCACAAAATTGCTGAGAAGATATTAAAGAACTATTATGCCAAAAGCTAAGAGAAGGTGGAAGCCCAGAAAAGCAAATGAGCTACTCTTGCCTTGAGCACATGTTCTAGACAGGGAACATCTAGTATTGATTTTAGTAGCTTCACGGAGCATGGAAAGAGCAGCCAAGGTCCAGGGCTACCCAAGGTGAAAATGCTATTACATGACTCTGCCCATATTAAATTGGGACTCCATAGGCTACACCCTAAGGGTAGGGGTGAACCAGTACCCAAGAAGTTTAAGAATGATTGTTTTTTACATTGACTATAAAAGGAGGGGAAAAAAGCACCCCTCCCCCATTTCATCTTTGAGACGTGGCCACTGCACAGCTCTTGCTTAAATTTGTAGCCTGGGTTAGCAATGACTGAAGGAACCTCAACCCATGAAAACAGTCTAACTGAGAAGGCCTCAAGGCACCCAGCAGTAGCAAACAAAAATCCTTTTTGTTGGGCGCCTGGGTGGCTCAGTTGGTTAAGCAACTGCCTTTGGCTTGGGTCGTGATCCTGGAGTCCCGGATGGAGTCCCACATCAGGCTCCCTGCTCAGCAGGGAGTCTCCTTCTCCCTCTGACCCTTCCCCCCTCTCATGTTCTCTCTCTCTCATTCTCTCTCTCAAATTTAAAAAAAAAAAAATCCTTTTTGCAAGAAGCCACAAATACTTTTTCTCACAATTAGTTTTTCAAGGATAAAAAGCTAACACACAAGGAAACTAGACTCCATGGACAATATACAGCAGAAATATCAGGCAGCAGAAAGGAACCAGAAAATAACTGAGACATTAGAATTATGATACAGTTTACAAAACAACTATGATTAGTATGTTTAAAGAAATAAAATAACTCAACTGCCAATTAGTAGGAAATAAGACAGAGGAACATGGTGAAATGCTCCATATACACACAATTAGCAAAATCCAGACTGGAGGAAACTCTGTAGTGTCAAAGGACCCAGGCCAGTCAACAAAAAATCGTAAGGAAGAGAAACTTTCAGTTTTGCAGATACTTTTTATCAGATTAGTTTCCCTTCTATTCCTGGTTTTCCATGAGCATTCATCATGAATAAGTGTTTAATGATTTCTTCTACATTTTTTGAGAGGACATTTTCTCCATTAACCCTTTAATATCTTGAATTCTGATGTTAAAACAATCTAACTTGCGTATAATGTATTGTTCTTTCTATATAATACTGGATTGTTAATATTTTGCTCCGGGGTTTTTATATCTATGTTCATGAGCAAAACTGGCATATAATCTTCCATTAATTTGGTGTCTTTGTCAGGTTTTCCTATTAGGGTTATGGTAAGGCTCACGAAACGTTTTGAAATGTTCCCTTTCTTTCCCTTTCCCCATTTTGGAAGTATCTGATTAAGACGGCAAAGTTATCCTGGTAATGTTTGGCTTAACCTTCCAAGGAAATCAGGGTAGCTTGGAGGCTTCTTCGTTGCAAGACTTTGTACGACTCTTCCAATTTGTTTTTAAACGATTTCAGTTTTCTATTTCCCTGCACACGTGCAAACAAGTACCTGCCCAGGACTTCTTTATTCCCGGAAGCGGACCGCAGAAACCTCGCGCCACAGAACTGAGGAAAACGCGCACAAAATACGTCACTTCCGGCCAGGAAGAAGTGGCGTAACCACGTAGGGCGCAGTCCGGCCTTCAAAGCCCCTTCCTGCGGAAGCCGCGTTCTGACGTCACCACGCGGCCGAGCACCCATAGGAACGCAGCAAAGCCTATTGCATCGTGGGATACGCGTCGATACCTTTGGGGCTTAGTGCGTCAGAGCGGGCTGTCTTGCACGGTGTCCTATGCTCGAAACATCTCTACCCTCTATTTAGAAAGGGGGCGTTCCCATCTTTTAGGGTGCAAGAAGATGCTAGAGGATGGCGCCAGTTTAGGTGCCGCTAAAGGTAATAGAATCTAACCGGGGGCCTGAAACCAATCAGAGGCTCGCGTGACTCGCTAATTGCCACTATCTCCCACTGGTCCCCTCCACCTTGGGCGAGGATCATATGACAGACTGCTGGCTCAGCTGTCACGTGACTGCCGCGTCGAGTGCAACTTTGGCGACTGCCAGCCTCTAGGGGGCGTATGCCTTTACCGCCTCTCCACGTTCCCACCCGCTTTGGTTCCGGACTGCCGCTTGCGTTAAGTGTCCTAAACCCTATTTCCGCCATTTCTTCCTTCGGAGTCCAGAAATGCGCGCTTCCTTGGGCTCTTGAGGACAAGGTGGTCCGGGAACTGGCGGTCAAGGGTAGTTTTTCGCTCCCACCTACTGAGATTATCGCGGTCGCCCTCCCCTTCCCCATCCCCTCTCCCAGGGTTGAAGGAAGGGTGTGACGGGCAGGGCTGTGCAGCCGGGAATTAGGTCCTGCGTTCGGTGTTCTCTCGAGACCTGGAGCTAGAGTAGGGAGCGCGCGTGCTAGTGGCGCGTGATGAAGCTATGGCGCCGTCATCTTCCCTTTCCCTTGGGTTATCAGGAGTGAGAGTGCGTACCACCAGCGTATTCTCACACGTAGGAGAACCACAGCCCAACCTCTTTTCCGCTAATGTAAATATAAGTTGGCCTGTTTTTCTTAGATATTTAGCTACCCATTTCAAGAAATACCTTGCTGCTTGTACATAATTTCCATCCTCACCCCATGGTGCTAGGACTAATCTTACACCGCTGCCATCTCTAGATCCTTACTGTTGTATTTAGCATCCCCCAGCCTCATCGTATTTGATTTGATTTGACATATTTTTTACCCTCTCCGGCTACTCTGTTGAAACAGATGCTTCAAAATCTCAAAAATAGGGCGCCTGGGTAGCTCAGTCGTTAAGTGTCTGCTTTCAGTTCAGGTCATGATCTCAGGGTCGTGGGATCGAGCCCCGCATCAGGCTCCCTGCTCGTTGGGGAGCCTGCTTCTCCCTCTCCCACTCCCCTTGCTTGTGTTCCCTCTCTCACTGTGTCTTTCTCTGTCAAATAAATAAAATCTTAAAAAAAAAAATCTCGGGGTACCTGGGTGGCTCAGTCGTTAAACGTCTGCCTTCGGCTCAGGTCATGATCCCAGGGTCCTGGGATCGCCCCGCATCGGGCTCCCTCCTCCGTGGGAAGCCTGCTTCTCCCTCTCCCACTCCCCCTGCTTGTGTTCCCTCTCTTGCAGTGTCTCTCTCTGTCAAATAAATAAATAAAATTTAAAAAAAAAATCTCAAAAATATTTTCTTCTAGTTATTAGTTCTACTGTTATTAGAACGTATTTTCCCCCTTGTACTACCTTGGCATTCCCAACTAAACAAAACATTCTTAGAAGAGCATACCTATTTTTAGTAATCTTCACCAAAGGCGGGGCTCACACTGAGGACTTTGAGATCAAGAGCCACATGCTCTATGGACTGAGCCAGCCAGGCCCCCCAAGAACAAGAATATTTTTATTAGCAACAAGAAGACCATTTCACAGTGAAATCATTTCTGCTCCAGATATGCAACACCGAATTCCTGTTTGAGCAAATATAGAGAAGGCTGTTTGATCATTTCAAATGTCATGAAAAAGTAATATTTTAAAGGAAATGCTTAAAAATAAATAGCTGCCTGTTTGTCTTTTATTGAAGTTTAACTTTTAGAAAACACTTTTATTAACCAGTCTAGCATATTGTGGAATGTGTTTCTATTGAATGGATGAATGGCTCCCTTACGTGAGGTTTAAATATCAAATAAGTGATTTATCTAACAGATGCAGATATTGGTAGCCCTGTGCAAATGCTGTTGATAGGTCTGCAATTCAAACCAATGTTTTTTCACTCTGAAACATGAAATAGGGGCACCTTGGTGGCTCAGTTGGTTAAGTGGCTGTTGATCTCAGCTCACGTCTTGAATTCAGGGTTGTGAGTTCAAGCCCCACCTTGGGCTCTCTGCTGGGCGTGGAACCTGCTTAAAAAACCCAAAACCATGAAATAAAGCATTCAGTACACTTCATCACATCAGGAGTTATAAACAGACTTGCTTTTCCTTCATAGTTAAGCAAACTTAATTCTGAGGAATTGTTCTCAAAACTTCTATTAAGTGTAAGAGTTTTAGTGATTTTTTTTAAAATCCTATTTTTTTTAAAGAAATTTTTTTTTAAAGATTTTATTTATTTGACAGATAGCGAGAGCAGGAACACAAGTAGGGGGAATGGGAGAGGGAGAAACAGGCTTCCTGCTGAGCAGGGAGCCTGATGTGGGACTCTATCCCAGGACTCTGGGATCATGACCTGAGCCGAAGGCAGATGCTTAACGACTGAGCCACCCAGGCGCCCCTATTTTTTTTAAAGATTTTATTTATTTATTTTTAATCTCTACACCCAACCTGGGGTTCAAACTTAAAACCCTGAGATCCAGAGACACATGCCCAACTGAGTGAGCCAGCCAGCTAGCTGCCCCTAAAAATCAATCTATTTTTGGGGCACCTGGGTGGCTCAGTTGGTTAAGCTCAGGTCATGATCCTGGAGTCCCAGGATCGAGTCCCGCATCGGGCTCCCTGCTCAGCAGGGAGTCTGCTTCTCCCTCTGACACTCCCCCCTCTCATGCTCTATCTCATTCTCTCTCTCAAATAAATAAACAAAATCTTTAAAAAAAAAAAATCAATCTATTTTAACCTAAGTTGGGTAAAAGTTTTTATAGTCATAGAATTAAAAAATTAAAATGTAGAAAAGTATATAGTGAAAAATCTGTGTCATATCCTTGCAACCTATTTGCTCAATTTCCAGTGCACCCCATCCCAAAGACAACTAGTTGGTAGTTTATACATCGCCAAGGAAATACACATATTTTCTTTCTTTTTTTTACACAGTGGCCTAATATATATAATGTTCTGCATCTTGCTTTTTTCATTTAAAAACATTTTTGAGATCCATAAGAGTATATAATGTCATCGCTTTTTGTATAGCTGGACAGATTCCATGGGATGGATATACTATGTTGCTTTTTTTTTTTTTAACCAAAACATTTGGGATCTTTCCAGTCTTTTGTCCATTCTGAGCAATGCTGTAATGAAAAAAGTTGTTTTGCAATTGTGCAAATTTATGAAAATATAAATTCCTAGAAGACCATTTCTGGGGGCGCCTGCATGGCTTAGTCTGTTAAGAGTCTGCCTTCCGCTCAGATCATGATCTCAGGGTCCTGGGATTGAGCCCCTCATTGGGCTCTCTGCTCAGCGGGGAGCCTGCTTCTCCCTTTCCCTCTGCCTGCTGCCCTGCTTACTTGTGCGCTCTCTCTGTCAAATAAATAAATAAAATCTTTTTAAAAAAGACATTTCTGTGTCAAAAATTATATGCATTTGAAAAAATTTTTTTAATATTTATCTGACAGAGAAAGAGACAGTGAGAGAGGGAACACAAGCAGGGGGAGCGGGAGAGGGAGAAGCAGCCTTCCTGCCGGGCAGGGAGCCCGATGAGGGGCTCAATCCCACGACTCTGGGATCATGAACTGAGCAGAAGGCAGACACAACCGACTGAGCCACCCAGGCGCCCTACATTTGGGGAAATTTTGATAAATGCCAAACTGCCTTCTGTAAGCGTTGTACTGATTTAATTTCCACTAGCACTGTATGTGTATTTCCCCATAGTCTCATCAACAAAATATTAGCATACTTATTTACTTTTTTTTTAAAGATTTTATTTATTTATTTATTAGAGAGCGAACGAGATACAGCATGAGAAGGGAGAGGGTCAGAGGGAGAAGCAGGCTCCCCGCTGAGCCGGGAGCTCGATGTGGGACTCGATCCCGGGACTCGATCCCAGGACTCCGGGATCATGACCTGAGCCGAAGGCAGTCGCTTAACCAACTGAGCCACCCAGGTGCCCACATACTTATTTACTTTGATGATGTGATAAGATTGTCATTGTAGCACATAATAGTTTTAATTTTCATTTCTCTTGGAAAATGAGCATCTTATATTTAAGAGCCATTTATATTCTCTTTTCTGGGAACTCAGTGCAAACCTTGGCCCATTTTTCTATTGATTTGTTTTATTCATTAGTTTTTAATAAAAATTCTGGGGGTGCCTGGGTGGCTCAGTCAGTTGAGTGTCTGCCTTCAGCTCAGGTCATAATCTCAGGGTCCTGGGATCGAGCCCCACACTGGGCTGTCTGCCCAGCAGGGAGTCTGCTTCTCCCTCTGTGCCACCCTGCTGTCTCTCAAATAAATAAAATCTTAAAAAAATATATACATTCTGCCTCTTATTAAAAGGACCTGTAGCAGAGATAATGTATTCAATATGATTGGGAAAACTGAAATTTTTCTGCCAAGCTTAATACATTTGCTACAGTGGAGCATATTTCAGTCTGAGCTTCCATCAGCTATAGAAAAAGGGAGGGGTATTTGGCAAAAGGAAGGAAACAAATGAGAGACAGAAAAAAAAAGTGGGTTCTAAAAATTCTAAAAGAACTGTAAGACTATAAGGGGGAAAAAAGGGAATCCATTACCCTGATTTTATCTTATTTTTCCCTAGATCAAGAGAAATTCATAGGAAAATGGAAAAGTAAGAGTTCTGATGTTTTGCTTTGGATTTCGCCAAGTTAAGTCAACTTCCTGGGTCCTCTTTTCAAAAATGTAAGAAATTTATCTCAGAAACTAA